GAGAGAGAGAGAGAGGCTCGCCCGCGGTGCGAATAAACGACGTTTCGCGAGTGCACATAACGAAAGAAGGAAAGGAAGATTGTTCGAAACGAGGCAGGAGAGAGAAGGATGGTGTAATGCGCATGTGACTTCTTTCGTATATATGTGAATGCGCGCTTCTTTCCCTCCTGCCTCCCCCCCTCCTTCTCTTCTTCTCTCACCGTGTGCTTTCATATTTCCATCCGGCCGTTCACCACCGCCTACCCCTTTCCGCGTCGCAAAGGAAAGTCCTCTGTAAAATCCTCTCTGAGCGCTGCGTACGGTTCAGAGTCCGCGTAAGGACCCCCGTATGTGTTTCACCGGGTCAGGTCAACGACCCACAATGCCCGGCGGAAAGGGAGGCGGAGGCGGAGGGGGCTGAAGAGTGGAAAAAGGGGCAAATGAAGGGAGGGACGGCAGAAAACGCGGTCCTCCAGATATTGCGCCCTCCTGGTGAATGCACTCCTCTCCCTGTGCGCGATGCGACGCAAAAAAAAAAAAAGTGACGCGCGCGCGCGACGCGCTTCGCCGCAGTGCGGTGCGTTCACGTGCGTGCGCGGCATTGCGCTCGTTGCTGGCTGCATTATTCAATGGTAGGTACGCTTCTGCCGACCCAACGCTTCCGTACACCGGCGTGCACGACGCGTTAGACGATGTGAAGTAATTATTCTTTTCTTGAAATCTGAATGCAAGGCGGGGCCGCGCGGTATCCAACGTCGTTACGGTATTATTTATTTTAGCGTGTGTTTACAACACGAGTCACGTATTAACGGCGAGCGAGGCTTCCTAAGGCCTCCTCCCGCTTCAAGATCTGAATATAACGTGAAAAACGTGAAAGTCGTCAAATTGAATAATGAACGGCGCATCGATCCAAGATACAAATACTGAGAACAAATTGTATTAAGCGTGCGAAAGAAAAACGTGTACGTATATAAATATAAATATAAATATAAATCTTGTATTCCCATCCTTGCGTATTAATATCGCGATATTTAATCGCGATTATGATCGCGTTTTGATCGCTGATGCAGAGTCCATCGCTGAATCTACCTCAGTTCAAGTGGATCTTATCAATTTACCCTCTGAGAAGTAAACAGGTGCGAGCACCGATATCGCCATTGCATACGCGTGATGAAATAGAGATATATATACGTAAAATCCAATTCTCCTCTCCACAAATATTCGCAAACGAACACTTGCATACATCATATTATTACTAATAAATTTTACAAAAATTTTTTTCTATGAGCATACAAATTGAAATCGCGGATCGGTCAATTTATTTTAAGCAATAGCTATACACAAAAATGTATTAATAGAGTTAAGAGAAGTTCAATATCACTACACCCTAATCTCTTGAAGTTGTTTGTCCGATCAGATGACCAGCCATTAGTGGATATGTGTGAGTGTATGCCGTGGTCCTTTTCATCTCTTTAAAGCGGCCGGATTGAACGCGGGACGGCGCTTTTCGAAAACGGGAAGCATCGTGCGAGAACTCTCTTCGGAGCGACGTGAAAAGCAGCGTGGTCAAAGGAAAAGAGGCAGAGTGGATTGGGTGAAAATACGAAGGAGTGGGACCCGGCTTGAAGGCGTGGCATGGGCGCTCGTGGGTGCTCACGGATGCTCCCGACGAATCGCTTCTCGAATCGACTGCATTCATTTTCGTTCTGGCTCACATTTCGAGCTTCCCACCGCGATGGTCGTGTCCCTTCTCTGGGGCTTATGACACGGCGATCCGCCGTCGCAAAAGGAAACGCGAATCTAATATTCCGCATACGTCCCCCGCATTCTACATGATTGGTACTGAATGAAAAACACCTTCCGAACGGAATGCAATATGCGAGGGCAATACGAGAGTGCATCTGGTTCAGCTTCAGATTTGAATTTTTCGTTATTACGACCGCGCGATATCGAGAATGATTGCGCGTTTCCAAGCTTTGATATTGTTGGTCACTACGCACACAAAGATAATTGCATACAAAAGCTAAAATGGAAATATCT